GGTAGCCCTTCCGTGTTTTCTAGTTTCCATGTTCTTAAGTTTTGCCTTTCTCATGTTTTGTTCCTTGGACTGTTACCTTGTTTTTGATTGACTGCTGCCTGCCCTGATCATTGCCTGTCTTGTTGGATTACTCTTTTGTCTGTGCCTTGGATGTTATTGTTTGCTGGTATCTGACCCTGCCTGTCCTGACTACGCTCTTTTTAATAAAGCCTGCTATTGGATCACCACTTCGTTGTCACGACGCCTCTATTGTTACAACAATGGTTTTACTATACAATAGAAAATATTGTACATATTTTAAAAAGACCTTAAAGCCTTTTGAAATTGTATTTATTTATAGTAAGAAAATCTAAAATTTAACATTGACCAATAAAATGTTTTTAGTTTTATGCTAAATTCTTCTTTAGCCCTTCCGTGTTTTCTAGTTTCCATGTTCCTAGTTTTGCCTTTCTCGTGTTTTGTTCCTTGGACTGTTACCTTGTTTTTGATTGACTGCTGCCTGCCCTGATCATTGCCTGTCTTGTTGGATTACTCTTTTGTCTGTGCCTTGGATGTTATTGTTTGCTGGTATCTGACCCTGCCTGTCCTGACTACGCTCTTTTTAATAAAGCCTGCTATTGGATCACCACTTCGTTGTCACGACGCCTCTATCGTTACAACAATGGTTTTACTATACAATAGAAAATATTGTACATATTTTAAAAAGACATTAAAGCCTTTTGAAATTGTCTTTATTTATAGTAAGAAAATCTAAAATTTAACATTGACAAATAAAATGTTTTTAGTTTTATGCTAAATTCTTCTTTCATTTTATAGCTTTTGTTTATGGTTAATTTAAGTTGTAAAAAGCCCCAAAATGTACTATATTTTATATTATAATTATATTAAATTATATTACATTAATATAGAAAATTTTACATTTTTATTATATTATATTATATTATAAAGTAAAATTTTTGCTTGTGTCTAAAGAAAATATACTGATGAAGTACAGTATGGTCTTTATAATAAATACTCTTTTTACTTTGTATGAATGTTTTGTTTTGGGAAAAGATGATTCAGTGATAGCGTCAGATGTTAAAACCATGATATTTTGTTATGTACCATAGTACTGTTTAATTTCCATATTCACAAATACGTTAGTACTAAAACGATGGTGTAATCAAAGAAAACGAATTACCACCATGGTAGCTCCCAAATTTGTCCTATTTTAACAGAGAGTTATGAGAATAGTGCTGAGTGTCAGTCCACATTTTGAATCAACAAGATTTATCAGTGCACACAGAAGCTGATTACAGCTAATATATTCCCCACGGATTGAATTTCCCCTGCGTTCGCTCTGCAACACTGACTCTGTCCTGGAACCTGCACCTGCTGCTCACCTGAGAGCCACAGGTGGCTTCGAGAGGTTCTACCCTGGGACTGGATTATGTAAACAAATGCCTGAAGGTGTCTCCATTGGTCTCGGTCAAATAGCTATTGTTGACTCTCTCAGACAAAATAAGGGACAGAGAGACTAGACTCAAGGGAGGGTCTATGGGTAACATTACCTTTTGAGGTTATAATATCTCTTCTGGATGGAATTCAATAGAGAAACGTCTTTGAATTGAAGTGCTGGAGCGAAGCCAAGTTGGTAACAATACAGTCGCTAAAGCAGAGAGAGAGAGAGAAATGAAGCTGTTTGACTTATCCCTGAGCTTATAACCTACTTCCATAGGTGACACATTTTGAGCCTCCATACCTGAGGCACAAGTGCTACGAGGATTAGAGAAGTAGCCAATGCAGTGCAGTGGATCAACACACATAAGCAGGCCATGACGGAAGCTGACAGCTGACCTTTGCCGAATAAAGCCGTGGCAGATATTAAAACTAATATCTCAAGGTTCCTAACGGATGAAAAACGAAATCCTAGTCGCGTAATGCCAGCCAGATCGGTTCAATTACCTGTTTTTATGTGTTCCTCAATAGAGACCTCTGGGACTTGGGCTGGAAAAAGGAGAGAGCTGCGCTTTGAGACATGATCATGTTTTCAAAAAGTGTCATCTAAGCTGACAATTCCCTGTCTATTATTCCATCGGAGCGGTGTAGTCTGCTTAGCACCATAAATATCCCGTCTGATCAGGGTTTAAAAAGGAGCAGGTGAAACGTCTAAGAAACTCATTATGACTCGATTGAGATGATTACGTTACCTCTACTTGAAAAATTTTTTGTGTGATGTATCTAGTAATAATTACTAAGCAGATGTGTGCCTCATAAGAAAATGTCACACCTGCTACCAAAAATAAATAAATAATTAAAAAAATTAATTAATTTTAAAAAATTGTGTAATTTTCCAGTAAAAATATCAAAACATCCTTAAAAAATACAGCATATAATAATAATAACATTAATACATCTTTATTTATTTATTTATTTATTCATTCATTCATTCATTTTTGAGCAGGGTGAATCTCACCAAACCTGTAATCAACATGTCCAGGTAATATTTTACCTTAAAATCATAGAAATTAATATAAAATTTTCGATAACAACTTTACAATAAGGTTCCATTTGTTAACATTAGACATTAGTTTACATTAAAATACTAAAGCATTTCTCCCCCAGCTCTAAAATCAACGTTTACTAATACATTATTAAATTGAAAAGCTGTAACTTTTAATATTATTTAATGAATTTCAGATAACAACTAACAATGAATAGTTGTATTTTTAACAAATTTTAACAAAGATTAATAACGAATATATTACCCATTGTTAGTTAGTGTTAGTTAATGTATTACTAATGTAACCTTATTGTAAAGTGTTGCCAAATTTTGCTGAAAGAAAATTATTTTATGAACAATTGGATTTTTTTTTTTTTTGCAATTTGAGATCATTTTAATGACAATTAAAAAGAAAAAGTTTATTCTTACTGTCAAAATGCATTGAATGGTATATTATGTAAGTTATACACCATGGTAGTATTTGTTGCCTTTTTAATATTGTTTTAAATAAAATAAATCATTGTATTACAGTATTTGTAATGTAATATTTAATTGTAATACAGTAATAAGAATCAACTCAAAAATACAAAACTCAATAAAATATAATTTATTTATTGTTATTTCATAACACATATTAAAGGGGTCATATGATGCGATTTCAAGTTTTCCTTTCTCTTTGGAGTGTTACAAGCTGATTGTGCATAGATAAGATCCCTGAAGTTGCAAAGACAAGGCCACTGTCAAAGAAACCTGGGCTTCCATACCACCTCAGCAGTGCTACAAACTGATCACCTCCATGCCACGCCGAATTGGGGCAGTAATTAAAGCAAAAGGAGCCCCTGCCAAGTATTGAGTACATGTACAGTAAATTAACATACTTTCCAGAAGGCCAACAATTCACTAAAAATGTCTTATGAAGTATTCTAATTTGTTGTGAATTGGTGGGTTTTTGTTAAATGTGAGCCAAAATCATCACAATTAAAAGAACCAAAGACTTAAACTACTTCAGTCTGTGTGCATTGAATTTATTTAATACACGAGTTTCACAATTTGAGTTGAATTACTGAAATAAATGAACTTTTCCACGACATTCTAATTTATTGAGATGCACCTGTATTCTGTTACACCAAATACACAAAATAATGATCTTTAAAAAAGCATCATATGACCCCTTTAATGTAATATGACAATTTTAAGAATACACTTAATTACAATTTTATTAAATTAAATTATCAAATGTTATAAAAGATAATCGCTCTGAAATTCTCAATATTAATTTTGCTTCAAATAAATGCATGTAGTAATGACGTTTAGATATATGTACTGTAAAACAAGACAAAAAAAACTGATTAGGAAAATGTTTGGTGTAACAGAGAAATTTAGAGCTGGGGGAGAAGGTGTTTGGGAGGCCTTTGGGAGTCCAGCTGTTAGTCCTATAATGTGTGGGTGGTCCCAGACGCGCATACATACATCACAACCCCCAGCACTCCACAGCGTTAAGACTGATGTACATTAAATCAGACACAGATCCATGCAGCGGGTGTCTATAAGGTCAGCTATATGCTTCGCTTTATCACAGAAAACCCAGTCTCAAATTACAATGTGCCTACCAATGCGAAAACTAATCCTGTCCCAGAGCATTGTGAGGAATACCCTTGAGAAATTACAGAAGCAATATATTTTAAAATAATATATTTAATATATATAATGTAAAGATATATATTACATTTAATGTATAGAAAGATATAATGTTTCTGGACACTTAAATGCATGTTAATTGCAATTAACAAATTGCAAGAAATGCGAAAATAAATGTATTCATACAAATTTAGAGATTACACCAGTTATTAAAGAAAAGGTATATATATATATACAGTCCAAAAGTTTAAGGTCTGCAAAATTTCTCTCTCCCCTTTTTTTGTTGAAAGAAATTAATACTTCTATTTATCACGAATACAATGCAAGAATTGATTAAAAAGACATTTAAACAGCAAAAGACATTTTTAACAGCAAAGCCATTTAATTTGTTTTGTTACAAAACATATTTATTAAAATAAATCTTTTGAACTTTATATTCATCAAACAATCCTAAAATAAATGATCACAGTAACCATAAAAATATGAAGCACAACTGTTTTCAACTTTCTAATAAGAAGAAATGTTTGTTGAGCAGCAAATCAGCATATTAGAATCATTTCTGAAAGATCACAGGACTGGTATAATGGCTGCTGAAAATTTCTGTTTTTTTATATTGTAATAATATTTCACAATATGATTGCTTTACTGTACTTTGGATCAAATAAATGCAGCCTTGGTGAGACTTCATTCTAAAACATGAAAAAATCTTTCCAATCCCTAATGTGTATATTGGGAGGCCTTTGGGAGTCCAGCTGTTAGTCCTATAATGTGTGGGTGGTCCCAGACGCGCATACATACATCACAACCACCAGCACTCCACAGCGTTAAGACTGATGTACATTAAATCAGACACAGATCCATGCAGCGGGTGTCTATAAGGTCAGCTATATGCTTCGCTTTATCACAGAAAACCCAGTCTCAAATTACAATGTGCCTACCAATGCGAAAACTAATCCTGTCCCAGAGCATTGTGAGGAATACCCTTGAGAAATTACAGAAGCAATATATTTTAAAATAATATATTTAATATATATAATGTAAAGATATATATTACATTTAATGTATAGAAAGATATAATGTTTCTGGACACTTAAATGCATGTTAATTGCAATTAAATGAAAACATATTATAGTTTGAATTTGTATTAAATGCAATCAGCTAAACTTTAGAATGCTTTCTGGCCACTTAAGAAAGACTAGTTCGCAATTACTTCTATTGTCTACTGAAATACAAAAAAATACTTTAATGTAATTTGCATTGAAACTTGTATGCCATGTATTTAAATATATTTGTAATCACACATTTGTAATAATGAAGTAAATTTAATATTGAGTAACACACTACAGTTAAAATTATAATCAACTACTTTGCATGTACTTTAGTATGTTAGTCAACACATCAAAATAAGTGCACATCCTTAAAGCAAAAGATTATTAAAACATAATGATTTCAAATGTAAACTTTATAAAATGAAACTTTTAATTTGGCATTATTACGTTAAGTGCTGTTAAAGTGTATGTGCAATTACAGGCCTGATTATAAAAGTACTAAACATTCACCCATCTTTGATATAGCTCTCTATTGTGTTTTCATGCTGCCAATTTCAGCATGAAAAATTATGAATGGAAGCCTAAACCTAACGGCGAAAATACAAATTGCAAGAAATGCGAAAATAAATGTATTCATACAAATTTAGAGATTACACCAGTTATTAAAGAAAAAGTATATATATATATATATACAGTCCAAAAGTTTAAGGTCTGCAAAATTTCTCTCTCCCCTTTTTTTGTTGAAAGAAATTAATACTTCTATTTATCACGAATACAATGCAAGAATTGATTAAAAAGACATTTAAACAGCAAAAGACATTTTTAACAGCAAAGCCATTTAATTTGTTTTGTTACAAAACATATTTATTAAAATAAATCTTTTGAACTTTATATTCATCAAACAATCCTAAAATAAATGATCACAGTAACCATAAAAATATGAAGCACAACTGTTTTCAACTTTCTAATAAGAAGAAATGTTTGTTGAGCAGCAAATCAGCATATTAGAATAATTTCTGAAAGATCACAGGACTGGTATAATGGCTGCTGAAAATTTAGAAAATTTCAGTTTTTTTATAATTGTAATAATATTTCACAATATGATTGTTTTACTGTACTTTGGATCAAATAAATGCAGCCTTGGTGAGACTTCATTCTAAAACATGAAACAATTATTTCCAATCCCTAATGTGTATGTAAAGTATGCAGAGATGGGAGCAAGTCACAAGTAAGTGACTTGCTTCCCAGTTCATTTTCATGTGAAATCTATATACTGTTTTTGTTATTTATTTTATATATTTGAAAACCAAATGTCAAAAATTAGCTGGCAGAGTCATAAAAGCCAAAAATCTGATTTGTCAAGTCCAAGTCATGAGACTCGAGTCTACAACCCTAACCCTATGTTTAGGCCAAATTCACCAAACCAGGAGTCGAGACTCAAGAAAGTAACATGTCACAACCTAACCCTAACAGTATAGTTGCACTACAATAGAGAGAGAGAAAAAAATACAGATAAAACTGTCAAACATTTAGTAATTCAGTGTGGTGCAGAGGAGGCACACAAAGTCTTCAGCTCATTATGTATTACACAATAGCGTAGGTAAGCCACGTTTCACAGCCTCATATAAAATAACATATTGTAACATTTACAAGTTTTACATGCTGGACAAAAATACCCACAACATAATCCCTTTATGAGCGATCCAGTCGCTCAATCAGTGACCCCGAGTGCAGTAAATGTGAGCTTACAGGATGGGTTGAGAAAATAAACTTCACTGAAACCATCTTTTGATAGAGGCTATAAGAGAAAGTGGAGTTTATCTACATGACAACCATGCTTTATGTTTCTCATATGTGTTGATGGGAGGGTAAAATAATGCACTCGCTCAAAGATGGAAGAGCAGAAGGAAAAGAAGAGGGGAGAAAAGCCTAGCTCACTTGTTTTCAAACCCTGCCCTCTTAGCAGATAATTACACAAGCGTGTTTGACAAAGAGTTCAAGTTGAACTGTTTTCAACTCAAACAACTCCCACACAATTATTCTGCCAAGGTTTGTGTGCATTGGCACGTCGTTTCATCTCTACTATTGTTTGGTTTGTTATTAGCGGCTGTTTTCTCAGCGTGTGTATGTGGAGAGCAGTTCCGCACTGGCCTCCTGACGACTAAATGCGGTCCCCTGGTAATTTTGCAGTCAGTGAGAAAAACTCACAATTTTCCTGAGCTAGAGTTAGGACAACGATGTTTTGCAGATTTTGTTCAACTGGTGCTGTTTTACAGATGCCTATATCATTATCAGCCAGGACATATGAAGAAAGTACATTTCAGAGTTTAAGCATGAATCTATGTTGCTATGTCAATAAAAATTCTGCTACAATCTGGAATGTTTACATTTTTATACTGATGTTCATTAATGTATATTGTCCCTATTAAACACGCAAAAAAATAAATAAACAAACAAATGTTAACGGTGTATGTAATGTCTGTCCACTATAGTGGAACCAAAGCGAATGGCAATAAATAAATACCTACTGTACCATAGTAAAGAAAGAAAGAAAATGGCTATTTAAATCAGTACAAAAACTCAATATAACAAATGCTATGACGTACAAATACTTTACATTGACATTAATATATGATTTTTTTTCATATTGCAATAATGAGACTTTTTTTAATTTGTCATGAAAATCATGCAAAAAAAATTATAAAATAATTTTATATATGAAAATATAATTTCCGAACAATATCTAAACAAGTTTCACAAACACTTGCTTTAAGCCTGTTATTATAGGACTGTGACACTGGGACATTACTTTTATGATAATTAAGCGCAAATTCTCTTTGGCATTATGTCTTTTTGCATAGCATAATCTCCCTTTTATCAGTCTTTTTTATCAACTGATTATGGTAAGATTCTGGTTACTGTATTACAGTAAAAAAAAATACTATAATACAGTGAATTACTTAATATAAATCAATATTTGCAACAAATGCAACATATACATGCCAATATATATATATATATGTTACATACATTCTATAATTTGTTCTGGGGTATCATTCTTGGGTATAATATGATCAGACAGGTTTATGTCAAGTTTTGTGAGATTCAGACAAAAAAAAAAGCAAAATAAAAAAAAATGGCCATGAGTAGTTAATGTGTTCCAGTAATGATTTATTTGTAAAATTAGGAAGTGAAGTCAGAGTGAAGCTTTATGACTGTAATAACATGTAGGTCTAAGTCTATTTCAGTTTGCTGGCTTATCGTTTGAGCAAACAGCATAACAGTGCATCTGCTGTGTTGTTCACAGCACATGTTATCAGAAACCCAACTTTAAGCTCTCTGCACACAGACACTGATAAAGAGGTCTCCCTTCAGCAGAAAAGAGGGCTCCCGATACAATGCCACTAGAACCCGGTTTTCAAAATTGCGTGTAAACAATTGAAAAAAACTGTAAAGTGTACTTGAGTGTGTTAAGAAACATAGTCATTAGTGTTCCAAGTGTACTGTCTTTAAGTACATTTATTTCATTAATATTATCTATCCATCCATTCTCCAAACCATTCATTCTCTGTGTGGCCGTGCGAGGCTGGACATTAATATTATATTAAATGCAATATACTATACACTAAAAATATAATTTTAAGATTTAAGATACACCACAAGTGCACATTCAATACAATTAAGCTCACTTCTTTTTCACAAGGCTAAAGTGCAGGAAGGATCTCACTGTTATAATGTTCTACAGTGTCATTTTGTAAAAATGGTTTCAGTTTCTGAGTGGGCACAAATTGATAATGAGCAGAGTGACCTTCAAAGTAGTCTTTCACTATGAGTAACAGCTGTTTCCACGGGCCGGAAGCTCACCACACGACCCAAACACAATGAGATGGGAAATGGTGCTGAGAGGACACCTGTTCTTCACAGGGACACAAACCAAGAGAAATTCAATTATTAAAAAAAAAGTCAGCCAGGGTGCAATATTATAAAACAAAATAGTTGAAAAACAGTTGTTTTGTGTGTCAGGATTGTTTATGCTAAAAAAAATGGAGAGCGTGTGCTTGAAGTATGTAGCGAAAGGGTGAATCGTGTACTGCACCTACAAATACTCCTTTTCTATGCCTGATTATAAAAGTACTAAACATTCACCCATCTTTGATATAGCTCTCTATTGTGTTTTCATGCTGCCAATTTCAGCATGAAAAATTCTGAATGGAAGCCTAAACCTAACGGCGAAAATGCAAATTGCAAGAAATGCGAGTTTGCTGGCTTATCGTTTGAGCAAACAGCATAACAGTGCATCTGCTGTGTTGTTCACAGCACATGTTATCAGAAACCCAACTTTAAGCTCTCTGCACACAGACACTGATAAAGAGGTCTCCCTTCAGCAGAAAAGAGGGCTCCCGATACAATGCCACTGTTCTTCCTGTGTACACACACAAGACCCATCAATATCCTTTCCACTCTCTGAGTCAATATTAGCAGGGAGGTATTTGGCCTTGGTATTATTGAAACACCTCCGCTGGGGTGGGCAGGTGTCTCAACCCTATGTGTAGATTCTAGCACATTGAGTTTACATGCGGTGTTCGCTCTCAACCACAGTGTGTGTGTGTGTGTGTCTGAGCTGCCTTGTTGTTGTCACCTTGGCTTCCATCCCAGGGACACAGCGCAGGCTGTTCGGCACTGTTTACCCAACTGCACCCCTGGACCTCACAAAACTCTCGAAAATTGAACTCTGCACATAAATGTACACATTTTCATGACTGGAACGCAAGGACGTAATTCCTTTAAGTGATTCCTTTATCCTATTTACCTTGCTAATATTCATTCCTGGTCTTGTTGTAC